CATACACTGGATATCTCAAAATATTGAAGTCAGCCCTCCCAAAGTCAAAATCCTGGCTCCGCCCCTGGCCCTAACCCTAACCCATCAGGGCAGGTGGGAAAGTGCTGCCTTGTAATGTGGATAAAAGGTCACTTGAGGATATTTAAATAGCAGTTCTATGATATTTTATTTTGCATACTATTCTTAAACGGGCTATAATACCGTTTTTCGAAAAAATACGAATGGATTATTTGTCACATGACACTAATGTAATGCAATCAGGATAAATTTGTGGAAAAGATACACAAATCTTAATTGTTGCTGCCTACATACTCTCTACCCATGAATGTACCACTCGTGGCCCTTGCCTAAACAATGGAAATAGCAAAAGGCAGTAAAAATTGCCACTTGAAAGTGGCACATGTAAGTCTGGAACTTCCTGAATGGACCGATTGTCAAAATGGCAACATTCTTTTCATTTGCTTTGTGACAATTTATGCATTCTGTTGTGCAGCTGGCATTTATTTTTCCCATTCCCTGGAACTTTACAAGAGAAGCCACTGTAACAGTTTAACACTGCTTTTTGTGGCTTCACGTGAGTCATGTTGTAAAACTGGAAAACTGTTTTTAAAATCCAGCCATGACTACCACATGTGGGTACATTTTTGCAATAGCTTTCTGCAGGAAACCGATTTGTTTTAAAGAATCTGTGAAGGCATGTGCACTCAAAGAGCAAGTATTTTTTTAAGGTGAACACGAAATGCATCTTTGAATGCAAGTACATTATGCAGCCCTTTGACACTGCACTGCTGGATGAAGGAATCCTGGCACCATGTAAGTCGTTTGAATTTATTTTACAATGCTTCACCACAATGCTCGGTGCGAATTGGTGAATCTGAATCTTTATTTATCTTGAAGGAATCCGATGAGCTATGAAGCTCTTTTCCCCACAGCTGTCCAGTATGGGCAAGTCGGCAAAGGTGAAGGGGGACTCGGGATTGGTTCAGACATCACTCGCCACTAATTCTATCCATGGCTGGGAATGCAACGCAGATGGTCATTTGTGCTAACCACTGTACATGTTGCCAACCAATTTGCGTGGCATTTCATCTCAGTGCAGATCTAATTAACAAGGCAAATTATTTAGCGGTGATGCTGCGCTGGCAGTGGGTGCACAAGCACACTGAATTTTTTTTATTTAATCTTCTCTGCACCCCAAAACCTTCAAAGTGGTAGTAGTCACAGGATCTACCAACATACCTCTTCGGTAGACTGGGTGATAACTAATTTCTATAGAACTGCTATTTTTTGTTTAGTTGTCCTTCCCCGTACCTCCGATTCACACGGGTGGCTATGTACGGTGCGAAAGACGTTCAACATACATAAAAAAAGACAGATCCCCCATATATCCTTAACAGACTGTAGGGGCAAGTGCTGTTAGCGAACACCTATGAAGGCCGTAACGGTACACGAGGGGGTGGGTGCCCAGCACCACGCCCGACCGCCTTTGTCTCCCCAGTGGCGATGTTTACACACCGCACCAGGTACTCATTTTAGGATGGCTCGACCTAGGGGAGGCCCAGGACCGGTTCAGATAATCGTCACTGGTGTTGGCCGTGAGCGGAAATCGAACCCGGGTCGCCAGGTTCATAGCGCAGCGTAGCGCTTAACCGCTGCACTCCCGCTCCCACGCACACACAGTTATGCAACCAGAAAGAAGCAGGACAACCTTCAAACCTGGCCATCAAAGATAGAATCCTTTATGTTGCTGTCCTAAGGAACGACGTGAATACTGCTAACCATTTTTTAAGGAACCACCTCCGATGTGCCTCTTGCAGAAACGCAAACCTCTCGGGGGGCCTGTGAGTACATGGCTCAATGCGAAACGCATGCAACAATATCATACTGGGCAGCTTTCCATGCAAGCGCAGAAGATGCAACCCGTTTATCTTCACATCGACCAATACCCAGATAAAAAAAAACGCCCAGAGCATATATTTGTGATGCACCATAGGTTTACATGCACCTCCAGCAAGCTGGTCATTGCCTGAAACGTCACCGTGCGTTTGTGCTGCTTGACCATAGCACACCACCTCATGTACCATTCCGGCCTTAATAAGTGCTCTCTAGCAGCACTTGTCCCAACTGTCGGTATGGGGAATCTCTCTGTGGGCTCACGTGAAGTATATATGTATTCAAATTAACGTCTCGGCTGCCACCATATCCAAATGCTTGTTTGCATGAGGTAGGGAAACCAAATGACTTGGACAACCCAAAATGTTTGGTAAATAAGCTGCTCCTGCATTAAAACTTTGCAATTGGTTTATTTTGATATATAAAAATTAGTTCTCGGTTATAACCCAAATCGTAAACTTTGCGTTTATATTGTAGTTGTGTTTGTAATCCTACATCTAGCCATTCTCATAAAGGGTTTCTGAGTCGACACCGATTAATTCTGACCCCAGTGCCCTGTGCCCTCTGCCCTCTTGTAAATACGCCATGGCCGTGGAGCGTGTGCGCGCTTGACTGGTTCCTGCAGCGATGGGACTGGGCAGTGTTCGGATGGGGCTCGGGAAAGCCTCGTGTGTTAGCCTTTCGACAATAAAGACATGGGCCACAAGGCAAGAAGATGACGAATACGCACAATACGGTAGACGTGTTAAGTGTTCAAATGCGAGTGAACTCATTTACCAGTGCGTATTAGATTGTGTAACTAATTTCCTGCCTAAAATATTAAAAAAGTCACTAACACATGTGATGGACTTTTTAGTTATTTTTTAAAATCTCTAATAATGTATTGTATTACATTGCTCTGTTTTTACTTTTTTACCATTGTTTCATCGTAAGTAATGTCATAGATTAGGGATTAACAAAGTACAACCATAACCACAATCATATAAAAACAGAAATCTATGCATTGATTTATATGAAGACAAGTCCAGATATTGTGGCCAAGGTTGAGCAAATTGTTATTTACATAGCATAGCAATTTTTATAGCAATATATTGGGGGGGGGGGGGGGACATTTTTTGCGTATTTGAATATGGGGGGGGGGGTGTGTGTCCCATATACATTATAATTACCTCCTTGCCAGACAGTCACAAATGTAACTTCAAAGATAGCACTGCTGTGTTTATTTATTAAACATACGCACTGTATTGCTCGGGTGCTAACAACAGGCACACGCTGCAGGTAGGAACGCAATCTCTACATTCAAGACGCACATTTTTTCTTAGTCTACGATGGAACAGATAAGGCGCATTGGAACATTCCTGGCTTTGTGACGAGCAATTTGTGCACCCTGCGCAAGTGCTCCGTCGAAAGCGAGTCAAGTCGCTCGCTCAGACCCCGCCAGTGCTCTCTCGGCTTGCGTGTGAGGCTGCTGCCTCGTCCGTCTCATCCCCCTCCACAACCAACCTCTCTTGCGTGGTGCGGGGGGCGGGGGCTCCTTCGGTCGACACGTGAATTCGGCCTCCCATCTGTTTCCTGACGTGGAGCCAAAACCCGACCTCGGCAAACGGCCGGGCTTGGCAACCACATCCTCCTTGCGTGTGCCTGTGTGTGTGCGTGTGCCTGCGTGTGTGCGTGTGCCTGTGTGTGTGCGTGTGCCTGTGTGTGCGCTGTGCGGCAGTTCCTGTTTGCACCGTCGCAGACTCTCTGCGTGTGTGTCTCGTGCTCGTGTCTCGTGCTCGTGCGTGTGTCTCGTGCTCGTACGTACGGCGTGTCTCGTGCACGCGTGCGCCGTGCGGACGTTGGATTTTTTGTTGTTGCGTGCGTTGCGTTTCCAAAGATGCCGCAGTGAATGCGAATGCACCGCGGAGAGAGTGGAATGGTTTGAATTCCTTAGGGAGTGTCGGTAATTATTATTACTATTCGTGTGCTCCTGGTCCCCGGCCACTGGCTGGCTTTTTTTTATACTTCTGCCCGCCCGCCTTGTCCGCCTTGTCCGCTTGCCAGCGCGAGATTTTAGCGGTTTGTCTACGTCGAGCGTGTGCGAAAGAGTCCCCCCCCCCCCAAACACAGCCCTTGGTTCAAAGGCTGCCAGTGTTGAGCGCTGGCGCTGCTGCTGCTGATCTATCGCACGTTGATGGAGAGTTGTTGACGGTGGTGGGGTGGGTGGTGGTGGTGGTGGCGGGGGTAGGGGGTGCCTTTTTGCTTAACCCCCCACCCACCACCCCTTCATTCTTTCGGGGTTCATCGCTGACTCACTTGCTGGACGTGCTGGTTGGTTCCCTGCTGGCGAGCATAGCCATTCAAAAAGTCGAGCTGAATGTGTAAGGTGGGGGGGTGGGATTACTGAGCACCGGAGAGACGCTGCTGCTGCTGCTGGCTCGCGTTTTGTCCGCGGGTTTCCGTTGAGAAGTGTCTCGGCTCGCTCGCTCGGCCTGCCTGCGAGTCGGCGGCGTTGTTGTTGTTGGGAGACGAACTTTGTGGCCGCCCCTCCGGCCTTTTTATATCTTCAAAACCGATAGCAGTGAGCCGGTTTCTTTTTTTTTACAGACGAGTTTTAGAGAGCGCGCGGAAACATGGTTTGGGGGGGGTGATTGTATTTATTAAGTGCAGTTATAGTGCAGTTTTTTTCGCCTTTTATTAAGGATTATACTTTTTTGTTGCTCGGGCACAAACGGTAGTGGCGACAGGTGGCATCGTTAAGTGCCTCTGCCGAGAGCGTCTCTAAAGTGACGTCGCCGTTCGTTGTAAACATAGAAAATAAAAGCAATTCGGCTCTTGTGTGCGTGGAGCGAACCAACCAACAAAATCATTCTCGTGTGGACGGCCCCCCCCCTCCTAGGCAGCGGCGGGGGGCAGAGCGGCGACTTGGGGAGCGTTACAAAAAAAATTTGCGGACAGTTTTGTGTTTGTGTTGTTTGTTGTTCGCGAGACGGGTTTATTATAACAGTCGTCGGCGTGTGGGGTTTGTTTTCTCTCTTTCTCTACAAAGTCGTCTAAACACGGTAGCGGGGGGAGGTGGGGGGGAGGCTGTGTTGGAGTAGTGGGTTTTTTTTTGGGGGGGGGGGGGTGTTGTTCGTTAAATTTAAGGCTCAATCGGCTCGTTCAAAAAGAGTTTTTTTGGAGGCGGTCAGTTACCGGAGGGGTGCACACAGGAGGAGAGAGAGAAACCCGTTCTGGCCGAGGCGTTAGTCGGTGGGGAGCGAAGGGAGGCTTCAGTCGCGTCGACTCCTGGTGGGGTGGGGGGCAGACGATGTCGAGCCCTTGGAAGCTGCTCTCGCCTGTCAACTGGGCACGGTGGACGTGGTCGGCCGTGCAGACTGGAGGTGCGTTCGGAGCCCATCTGGTGCAGAAGGTGTCGAGCAGGCAAGTGTCTCTCTCTCTCTCTCAATGAGGCCCATTCCGTGTGGGTCCAGGGTGGGCGTGTGGAGGAAAGATCTCTCTCATCTTCTTCAGCCGCGTCTCATCGTCCTCCGGCGTGTTGCTGGCGTACACATCATCGGCGCGACGAGTATTCAAGGTTTCTCTCCCTTTTAAAAGAGCCCGGCTTAGTTGTTGGTTTAGCAGCTGCTCAGCCGCGGGCTTCCCTCGAGAGCCGTGTGTTTTTTTTTAAACGGAAGGGCCACCCCTCACCACCACCACCATCCCTGCTCTCGACCGCAGGAAGTGTGACTGTGATATGTCGCTGTCACCTATGACAAGCCCGTGTTGCTTTCTTTCCATGGCTCGGCGATGTCCTTGCGTGTGTGTGTGTCTTGTCGTTTCTTTACACATTGGCGCGTACCGCGTTGTGCGTGTGGGGGGGGAGGCAGAAGAGGAGGATGATGATGGGATGACCAAAGATGTACATCGGAGCCACCCGCGAGATGTTAACGGGTCGGCCTCGTGCTGGGAGTGATTGTCGCTTGTGCCTGTTTGTGTGTTAAAGTGTATGTGGTGGGGGAGCGGTGGTGGAGTGGTTAGCGTTAGGTTTCACCTCGAACCCGGCGGCCCGAGTTCGATTCCCGCTGACGGCCAACACCGGTGACGATTTTCTGAACCGGTCCTAGGTCGACTCGGCCTCAAATGAGTACCTGGCGCGGTGCGTAAAAACATCGCCACGAGGGAGACAAAGGCGGCCGGGCGTGGTGCTGGCCACCCACCCCCTCGTGCGCCGTGCCGGCCTTCATAGGTGCTACTCGCTAACGGCACTTGCCCCAACAATTAAAGTGTATACGGGGGATCTTTGTCTTTGGTGTGTGTGTGTGTGTGGGGAGCGGCGTAGGGGCTTGAGCACCGCGCTACGAACCCGGCGGCCCGAGTTCGATTGCCGCTCACGGCCACCACCGGTGACGATCATCATGAACCGGGTCCCCGAGCCCCCCCCCCCCCCGCCTAGGTCGACTCGGCCTCAAATGAACACCGATGTTTTAGATGTGCTTGTTTTAAATGTGCACGATACCACTGAAATGCTCCTGCGCCCCTCCGCGGTACTGTCTCCAGAGTGGGGCTTTAACTTGACACGTCAATGCCACCATTGGATTTGGCGGGGGTCGCGGGGTCCTCCGTGCCGCCCGCGGCCTCCGGCGTTGCCTCGCGAATGGATTTAAAGTTGACCGCTTTACCCCCTCCCCACCTCTCTCTGTTCGCGTGCCTTTGCAGAGGCTCGGAGCCGTCGCCTGACGAGTTGGAGAGCGAGCCGGGACAACAAATACTGTCGCCGGACGGCGAGGGGGGTGGCTACCAGGGTCGAGAATTCTGGGCGGACGCTGCTGGTGAGAACCGACGCCCTCCTCCTCCTCCTGTGTGTACAGGCGTCTTAAAATGTGGGGGTTTTTAGAAGGTGCTGAAGGACGCTCCGAGATTTGTCTAAAGCGTTCCCTTCCAGGCGTTTTCAGGCTGGACCTGTGTACGTACTGCGCGCGTGTGTGTCTGTGTGGCGCTATTGCAGACCATTTGCGTTCGTAGTCTTTTTTTCAAAAGCTGGAGAACTCCTTCTGTTGTTTACGACGTGGCCGTTGTGGTCGAGTGCGACGGAACAACATTGTTGGTTTATCAAGGAGAAGTGGAGACCTTTCTCTGAACTTTACTGCAGTGTTAAAATGTGATGCTATTAAAAAAGCGGGGTGGGGGTGGGGGTAGGAAGAGTGATGAGAGATATGTCCATAAATAAATAATGAAAATAGCCTTTGAGTGGATTCATTCCTCACTGCTCAGGAGAGTAGACCAGCTGCAGGTCACTGCAGAGCCCTCCCAAGGGGGGGTTGGGTCGGGTGCAAGAGATCCTTCGTTGAGCTCAATGTGATCGGATTTCATGATTTTTATGAAGTCGTGGTTCTCACACACGCGCGTTCTTGTGTACCTTTTGATATTTTGAAAGGTGTGGTTTTTTTCCCCCTCCCATCATATCTCGTTGCTTGAAAACGTACCACTCTTTGTGTTTTTAGTTTGTGTTTAGAACTGCTTTTTGTGTTTTAGTGTGTTGCCCTGCCCCCCACAACCTACGATTTAGCACGTTTGGCTATGGTACGGTGCAAAAGAAGTTCAACATACATACAGTGCACAGCACTGTTTCCTTCTGAGTACGTTTTGTTTTTTCACGGATGACCTACTTTCATTTTTTTCTCACGAGTTCAACGGACCAATTGGAATTCATATCTTAAACATACAACTTTAATCCTTAAATAGCAGGTCGTGATACATGGATAAATAGCAGGTCGTGGTACATGGACAACTGTGTTCAGCTCACACAGAGCGAGAGAGAAAGTTAAGTTATTTCGTGTTGAACATTGCAGCAGCTTTTAAGCTTTACACTAATGTCTGTACTGGCACCTTTTAATGGATTTTAAGCAGCAATACATAACTATACAAATAGAAATTCGTCGTAGATACAAAGGTTCACCGTGCTTGCAGTCACAAAGCACTCAAATAGAGAATATGCCAAGACGTGGCAAAACAAATAAATACATGTACTGAACCCTGGCACACACATCGTGACTAATTACAAGGACACAATAGTGTTTGTTATACAAGGAGCTCTGTAAGCACTGATGTAGAAATAATATCAAATTATGTTGGTGCCTCAAACTAATTATGTGTTCTGCAATAGACAACAGATTGGGTTGTCAGGATTCAATTTTAACTACAGTACATTTCGCCATAACACCAGCTCGGTTTTTCTCATTTCACCAAAGCTTTGTCACATAAATGTTTTGGGTTGGTTAACTTCAGTTGAGCTAATCTGTTGCTTGTGGAAGATCCAGATTTGAGGCTTTGCCTAGGGTAATTTATGTTAAAGCCGGTATGATGGCTGGGTATAAAAAAAAAACATAATTACAACGCTTTTGTTAGTCCACTGCTGACAAAAAACCTCTTCATGCCTTGCCAGCCATGGGGGGTTGCTATTTAACTATGCAGGACTTCACCACACCGGTGGGTGCAAGTTGGTGAAGGAATGGTTCAAACATCCCACGCTACTCACGTTAGCCGTGGCTGGGAATGGAACCTAGCTGGCCTGGGTTTATAATGCAATGCGTGAGCCATTGCACCACTTTCATATGCCCCAAATAGTACAGCTGATCATCGATTATCCAGCTGCTTCCAACATTATTCGGTGGTCCCGGGCCGATCCGGCGAAACCGCTCCAAAGGCTGTAACCAGGCAAAAAAGTATCTATGCTTGATTTAAGTTTCAAATATATACGATACATGATATACTACATACAACTTTAAACAATGAAAATACTTCAGGTATATACAGTGAGGGAAAAAAGTATTTGATCCCCTGCTGATTTTGTACGTTTGCCCACTGACAAATAAATGGTCAGTCTATAATTTTAATGGTAGGTTTATTTGAATATTGAGACAGAATAACAACAAAAAAATCCATAAAAACGCATGTCAAAAATGTTATAAATTGATTTGCATTTTAATGAGGTAAATAAGAATTTGACCCCTCTGCAAAACATGACTTAGTACTTGGTGGCAAAACCCTTGTTGGCAATCACAGAGCTCAGACGTTTCTTGTAGTTGGCCACCAGGTTTGCACACATCTCAGGAGGGATTTTGTCCCACTCCTCTTTGCAGATCTTCTCCAAGTCATTAAGGTTTCGAGGCTGACGTTTGGCAACTCGAACCTTCAGCTCCCTCCACAGATTTTCTATGGGATTAAGGTCTGGGGACTAGCTAGGCCACTCCAGGACCTTAATGTGCTTCTTCTTGAGCCACTCCTTTGTTGCCTTGACCGTGTGTTTTGGGTCATTTTCATGCTGGAATACCCATCCACGACCCATTTTCAATGCCCTGGCTGAGGGAAGGAGGTTCTCACCCAAGATTTGACGGTGCATGGCCCCGTCTATCGTCCCTTTGATGCAGTGAAGTTGTCCTGTCCCCTTAGTAGAAAAACACCCCCAAAGCATAATGTTTCCACCTCCATGTTTGACGGTGGGGATGGTGTTCATGGGGTCATAGGCAGCATTCCTCCTCCAAACACGGCGAGTTGAGTTGATGCCAAAGAGCTTTATGTTGGTCTCATCTGACCACAACACTTTCACCCAGTTGTCCTCTGAATCATTCAGATGTTCATTGGCAAACTTCAGACGGGCATGTATATGTGCTTTCTTGAGCAGGGGGACCTTGCGGGCGCTGCAGGATTTCAGTCCTTCACGGCATAGTGTGTTACCAATTGTTTTCCTGGTGACTATGGTCCCAGCTGCCTTGAGATCATTGACAAGATCCTCCCATGTAGTTCTGGGCTGATTCCTCACCGTTCTCATGATCATTGCAACTCCACGAGGTGAGATCTTGCATGGAGCCCCAGGCCGAGGGAGATTGACAGTTCTTTTAATCACACCAACTGTTGTCACCTTCTCACTAAGCTGCTTGGCAATGGTCTTGTAGCCTATTCAAGCCTTGTGTAGGTCTACAATCTCGTCCCTGACATCCTTGGAGAGCTCTTTGGTCTTGGCCATGGTGGAGAGTTTGGAATCTGATTGATTGCTTCTGTGGACAGGTGTCTTTTATACAGGTAACAAGCTGAGATTAGGAGCACTCCCTTTAAGAGTGCTCCTAATCTCAGCTCGTTACCTGTATAAAAGACACCTGGGAGCCAGAAATCTTTCTGATTGAGAGGGGGTCAAATACTTATTTCCCTCATTAAAATGCAAATCAATTTATAACATTTTTGATATGCGTTTTTCTGTTTTTTGTTGTTATTCTGTCTCTCACTGTTCAAATAAACCTACCATTAAAATTATAGACCAATCATTTATTTGTCAGTGGGCAAACGTACAAAATCAGCAGGGGATCAAATACTTTTTTCCCTCACTGTATATATCACCGCATGCAGAGTCTCAGATTGGAATAGTAAGGAAGGTGCAGTAAACACAGTAACTGTTTACAGTAGGATATTTATAGTTGTCATTGTACGTTTATTCCAATTTCGCATAGTAAAGAAATTTTAAATACTTTAAAAAAACATATACACAACACCTAAAAAACAGTATTATGCAACAATATGCAAAATAATTAAATAGTGATTATCCGGTATTTTTTAAAATCCGGCGCCACCGGATAATCGATGATCCACTGTATGCCTGTATACTGTATTGCCCACATGGGTTGAACCACTCCTTTTGAAAAAAAAACAATTGACACTGTTGGATTTTCTGTTAACCGCGGGTGGTGAGGCCTACAAGTAAAACATGTAGAGGGACATACTCTTAGGTTCTTTCGGTAAAGTCACGACTTTACCGAAAGAACCAAAGAGTATGGATTCCTGCAGTCGCGAAAGCTTCAAATCAATCTAGAGGGACGTTTTACTTCCGTGTATTGTTTCTTAATTCGGTTCACCTCTTGAAGAAGCTCCCAGAACGTAGAGGAAAACATCAGGAGGCCGACCAACGCGTGGGACGTGCAGGAAGCGCCTCAAGAGTTGCATGTCGTCACTGTTGTTGTTTTGGGTCCGACCAGATGGTAATGTGCATCAGCTGTGATGTGGAGCTGCATGCTTCACTGTTTAGTGCATACGTGTGTGCAGGCCAGGTGTTGGGCATTCAAACTTGTTGATTCCAAAATTCCACGAGGGATCTGGTAACATTTTCCATGGCAATGAGTCCTGCATATACGGTATTTGTTTGTAATGCATTGCAATTTTTGTACGAAAATTTATATTCTGTGCTCCGTCCATTGCTTGGTTAAGTCCTCATGTCATCTCATTCATGGGGGATGTTTGACCATACTTCCCCTCACTGGTTATTGCTAGTTTGGTGGAGGTGGGGTGCCCTAGTACTGGCTCGGATATCACTCACTCGGGTAGCCAGGTTCATCGCAAACGGAGACAGACCCTTTGAGACAGAGACACAAATTAAGACAGACAGAGCTAATGAGATTGAGAGACACGGAAACTTTAATGTAAGAGGGCTTGGGCAGAACATATTGCTAGCCACTTACATGTACTGGACTGGTTCAGATATCTCTCGTCACTAATGTGAGCAATGGCTGGGAATCGAACTCTGGTCGCTGGGTTCATAGCGCAATGCTCTAACCGCTGCACCACCGCTACCCATATACAAAGACAAAGATCCCCTTTATAGCCTTAACAGACTGTAGGGGCAAGTGCTGTTAGCGAGCACCTATGAAGGCCGGAACCGTACACGAGGAGGTGGGTGGCCAGCACCACGCCCGACCACCTTTGTCTCCCTAGTAGCAATGTTTACACACCACACCAGGTACTCAATTGAGGCTGAGTCGACCTAGGGGAGGCCCAGGACTGGTTC